TAAATATCTGCCTAACATTGCCAACTATAAAACGCAATATCCAGACGCGTACAACTTGAGCATAACATATAGGACTCCCTACAGCTGAGGCATAAGGAATCTTCTGCATTTCTTGATTTCAATGACTGTTTTCTTCGCATTGGCTGGAGACTAAACTTGGTTCTCCCTTAGCAACCATGGGGGTTTCACCTTGATTTACAATTTTGCATTGCCAAATCTAATGAGTATTTTTTCGGATATAGCTCCTTTTGTGATTAATCCAGAATACCCGCAGACGACTCTCGGGAGTATTCGCATTCCTAATACAAAGATCATCACCAGACTTCATTTTCAAAATTCCTTAGATAAAAATCTCTTTGGTGTCATTGCCAATAAAGTTATATTCGTTTGTGGCAAAGCAATATGTCGTCAACATAATAAAACCAAAAAATATGTGTTTACTCCCACTGAACTTGTGATACACACATTTCATCAACAACGTTAGTTTCAAAACCATACGAAGTGAGGAACTTGATGAAATTTGAAGTACCACTGACGAAGAGAGCTTGTTTGATTCCATATGCATGGGATTTAGTCAATTTGCAAACCATATTCTTTGGGCTCCTGACAACAAAGTTTTCTAGCTTGCACCATATAAATTGTTTCTTTTATTGCACCATTAAGAAAAAGCTGTTTTGACATCATCTGATGCAACTCAAGATCAAAATATTGCAACAAGCCGCCATAATTGTCCTAAAGAATCTTTCGAAGAAAATGGAGAGAAAGTTTCTTTAAATGTCAATTCCTTCTTTTTTTGAGTAAAGCCTTTGGCTACAAGACGTGCCTTATACCTTCTCCACATTACCATTTGAATCCCTTTTGGTTTTAATATCCATTTACAAACCTACGGGACTCGCTGCCAAACTGGTATGAGACAAGTTCCCAACTTTTATTGTCTTGCATAGACTTATATTCTTCATTCTGGTTCTATCCACTTATTGAGAGGGTTGGAACTTTCCATGGCTTTGCACGAATAGTTGATTGGATCATTCTTTCGACATTTCCATTTCTACCTCATGTTTCCTGAGATATACAATATAATCATCTGGAATGCAAATCTCGCTTTCTCTGGTGGTATGCGCCTTAATGGCACAGATTCTTTGAGGTTGAGGTTGTAGCAGTTTTGTTCCTCATGAGAACAATTACCTCGTCTTGAATGGGGTTTGAAACTATATTATCTTGAACAACATTGTCCTGGTTGATGGATTTCGAATTTATTCTCTCGACAATGACAGTATAGGAACCTAGTGATTGGTCAAAAGTAGTAGTATGGAAGTGGCATACTCCTGCTTCCTCCCAAGACAATGTCTCTAACTGGATTTCTTCCCCAAACTCAACATCCTTCAAAAAATGTTGCCAATTCCCGTCTCAAATATTGCACCTTTTGTGGATCATAAAACTTGTAACCCCTGTGAATCGTTCTGGCATAGTCAAATAAAGTTAGCTTGCTAATGGTTTTAGAGTCAATTTTCGTTCATTGAGGTTTATAAGGCCTCGCCCAGGCAGGGACACCCCCCACACATGCAATTGTTTTAGACTTAGACTTTCGCCAAACCCAAAGCTTCATTAAGGTGTTTTTGCCAGCTGCTTTAGTTGGCACCCGATTAAGATTATAAGTTTGCTGTCTTAGAGGCCTCACCCCAGAGGGAACTCTTGGTAAAGTAGAATGAATGATCATAACTTCTTACCATATCCCTTAAGGTCCGGGTTTCGTCTCTCAGATACACCATTCATGCTAGGTGTATCCTGCATGGTGTATTGTTGGGACGATTCCACATTCTTCCAGGTATTTGCAAACGGTCCTGCGACATTTATTCACCTGATCCATCATATCTGCCATAGTATTCACCACCACGTCAGACCTGACACTTTAATCCGTTTGTGCAGTTGTAACCTCAACTTCGGCCTTAAATCTTTTAAGACGTCCCAAAGACGTGATTTCTCATGGATAAGGAAATATATACCCATATCTGGAATAATCGTCTATGAATGTGCTGATAATATTGTTGGACCATTCAAGACCGCCATAGGGAATGAGCCACAAATGTCCGTATGAATTATTTCTAAGAACATCTTAGTCCTATTGGGCCACCATATTTCTTATATTTTGGTCTGTTTTCCCTGATACAATCTCACATAGACATCAAAATCTGAAAAAATCAAAGAAGAGTCCAAATTCCATCAGACACAAGGCCGCTCAACTCTAGATTTAGAGATGTGACCTAGGCAGTTTGTGCCATAATGAGCGCCTGATATTTCCTTAGTTAATTACGCTTTGTACCTTCGTGATTCACTGTGCAAGGTTGCCATTATTAAGATGCAATAGTTTCGAGCAAATATAGATTATCAAACACATTAAGGTAATACCCAGCACAATTAAACATTGTAAATTAATAGACAATACTAAACTTCATATTTCCAAGAACAATAATATCCCAATTTGTCCAATACAGAAACAGAAATTAAATTCCGTCTAAAGGACGGTACAACAAAAAGTGCTAATAAATCCAAATAATAACAGTTTCAGTAATATCTAAAGTGCGCTATGCCTGCCACTTCTTATGACTTAGCCATCACCCACCAAGATGTATCTTTCAGCATCAGTTGGCTTTCGGTAGTTCACGGGCAACCCTGCATAGAACAACATTATGTGAGTAGTAGCACCAGAATCTACCCACCAAAGTGTTTTTCTTTCGGACTGAAGCTAAATTTATTCAGAACAGACCAAAACATGAAATGGACCTTTCTTTATACGCCAGGCGACGTATTTGGCACAATCCTTCTTTCTGTGTCCGGGCTTGCCCACCAAAGAAACAAACCATTCCTGCAGTTTTCTGTTCTTTGGTTCCGGCATCCGAAGGAATAGCAACTTCCTTCCCTTATGCGTTCTTTTGCCCATATGCTTGGAGGTCTTACTAGATGAGCACTTTCAGTCCTTTCTTGCTTCAATCTCTCTTCCTCTGCAACAAAATGAAAATGAGTATTGAAGAGTCCATTTCTCCTAATCTGGCAGTTATAACTGACCTTAATTGGCGTTAAATCGTGCAGGAAGAGAGATGAGAACTAAATGCACGAGCAAAGTATAGCATAGGTCGAGCGTTTTAGTGCCTTAAGTTTTGAGCAAGATGGAACATTTCCATGATGTACTCACGAACATTTTACCTTGCCTTTTACTTTATTGAAATCAAGCTTGCTAAAAGGCGTGCTTGTTTCAAGCCTTATCGTTTTTACAAAACGCTTTTGAATTTCTAAAAGAAATTCACCGGCAACGGTAACATCCTCGGTTATTGCACCCCGAAAAACTTCTGGAATCCCACGCTTCATGATCATAAGACTTAGCATGTTAGAACGATACCCAAGCTTTTCCAAAGTACACAGTTTCCTCAGGAGTACTTTGTGTAGTGAGAGCATTCGGTTTGGCATCCTTAATGCCAAGTCTATGTCCATGCAGCCTTGAGAACAATCAATATGTTCTCTTCCAGCTTCCTTAAGTTTGTTCCATTTAACATTGGACATTGTTCATGTGGCAGAGATTGAAGTAATCGGACATTAAAGCGAATCGAAAAGAAAATAAAAGGAATAACAATTATACTCACATTAAGTTACCAAACAGATAATCTCTAAATAAATTAATTTAATGACAACATCTCAAGATACCCAGCACAAACATTAATATCAAGCCTTTGCTGGCAGTGATATTTAACTGTAAGTGGTATTCTTGTATTTGTTTAATGATCAAACATTGACAATAAGTTATTGTCAAATAAAAATCTATCTTTTGATGGATTTATTATTCCACTTAGGTTTCCTTGACAATGGCCACAGTTGTATCACCACAAAATGTGTGGTGTAATTTCTGCCAAATTCTTAATCATGTCTTTGCGACAATAAATACCCGCATGAGATACACAGACATACTTCAAAACATTCCATATAAAACAATCTTAGACAAGAGAGATTCACTTTTGTGACATTCTTGTTTGAATTGAACTATATGAGAATGTTTTAGAAATTAATTTCCGTAGACGTTGCTATGAAATTACATTAATTTAAAGATTTCTAAAATTTGTTACCCGTATATGTTATATTAATCTGCAGCAATCCCAATTAGTATAACATATATATATATATATATTAAACACATGATGTTATACCATTTGAAAATGAACCGCCCATCCGAATTAATTCCATTTTCCAGGAAAACAAAACAGAATTGCAGCAGGAGGGAAAAAAAAACAGAAAAATAAAAAACAGAATCTGATTCAGGCAAACTAAATAGGCATGAATTAAAAGCATATCTATTCTGATAATACACATGATATAACTGCTCTGATACCACTTGTATTAACATAAATTTCAGAAACATGAACCTTACACTTTTGGATCATTTACCATGTGTATTATCAAGAAATCAAGACAAAATGACATTACCTGAATCCCATCGATGAAAGGTTTAAACGGAAGCGTTCTGGATTGTCAATAAAACCTTGATATTGACTATGTTATTGCCCTTCTAATCCTTTCCCCTTTGGTGCCTTATGTTTCTCCTTGAGAGGATTTAGAAAAACAAAAACAGTGTTCTTATTTTTTCACCTTAGGAAGGAATAGGGACCAAACCTTTTAAAGGTTGTAATTGGTTTTCATAACTGGAAAGATTAATGAAAACCAATTAAATTAACCATTATTGCGTTTTAAAAACTTGAAAGGTAATGAAAACCAATAAATTAACCCATTATTGGGTTTAAAAACTGAAAGATAATGAAAACCAACTTTAACCAATATGTTTTAATTTCTATTTTCTGCCCCTCATAGAAATAGAAATTATACAACTAGTATCTACACATTTAGCGTCCATAACACATTATACCCTTAAAGCCTATAACTAAATGAATTCACTTAAATTAGGTTGTAGGCTTTTTATAAATGATAACACCACATTTAATTATGTGGTCACATTGAGACATTATCTACCAGTAACAACATTGACATTCCCTTTTTTAGGCTTGTCATGAACATTTTAGGCTTGTTCCACAAATCTTTGTACTATGGCTAAAATTACCCTACATCTAATAACTAGTCTTAAATGGCTTATATGCCTTAAGATCAAGAGCAACCCCGGCAAACGATCCGGCTGCGGCTGCAATAGAAATTACGAGGCAAGCACCACTTAAAATTTGCAAGCAAAGCCATCTAGTACTCCATTTGGGTATTTTTTTCTGCACAATGTACATCTCCACCGGAAAATAAACCGTTAAAGGCCAAAATCCAAAAGCTCCAAGAATCCCAACCACATCATTGAAAAACGGCATGAGCATCGAAATCACAGTTGTTGTGATCACGAAAACCGTCCTCCACACCAACCGAAAGAGGTTGAGCCGGAAAGTCTTGAGGCCCGGAATTGGGACCATGATTTCCTTGGTGATGAATTTACTTTCTGGGAACCATTCTATTGCGTTTTTTTCGACAAAGGCGAAAATGGGTTGGCAATAGACTTGGTATGCACCCACAAGGTGGATGACGATGGCCACATTGGCGATGTCGAGGAGCCAGTAGGGATTGTAGAAACCGAAGCCAGTGAGGAGGTTACCGGGGGCCAAGTCCCCAAAAGCAGCATAGCCAAAGCAGCCACAGAGCATGTAGAAAATGGTTGTCACTGAAACACTTATCAGAGAGGCCTTTTTCATTGTTTTTGATTCTGATGGTGGAGACCTCACTGTGTCCTGTATATATGCATCATTAAATATGAGTAAGTCATATAAATATGGCAGTGTTTGATGAATTTTTAGGACTAATTGGAAAGAGCAATGCTAGGTATCATGAAAAAACTTTCATGAAAATGATCATGAAAAATTTATGACCTTTGGATTACACTTAAAATAAAGCACTACACACTAATCAAGGTAATCCAAGGGTCATAAATTTTTCATGACCAGTTTCATGAAAGTTTTTTCATGATCCCTATCTTTTCTCAATTGGAAATGTACCTGAATTTCAATAAGGATGATAGAGTAAGAATAGGCAAAAGCTATGTCTCCTAGTGCTTGGAAGCTCCTCCATATTTTCTGAGTCTCAGTCACCGTGCCAATGCTTATCCCGGTGAGACTTCCCCTGAATTTCCCAGTTTCTGATCATCAGCAAGGAAAAGAGCTCAGGTTAGTTTCAACAGAATCATTTTAGGGCTGTTTTACAACTTATTTGAGCTGCTTATAATTTTTATTATTTTTTTGAGAATATGTGTTAGATTACTGTTCAGTACAACTTAAAATGTCAAAAACACTGATTATCTAAAAAATAAGAGAGAAGTGTTTTTTTTTTTTTTTTTAACTTTCTGATTATTAATTTTCAACTTGTAAAAAGCTATACTAATAACTCTCGAATAAATTATTTATTTTTTATTTTTTAACAGTTGGTTGCATTATGCAGTGACGAGACTCGAACCCGAGCATCACGTCGGTCAGATAAGGGAGCGCTTTCATACCTGCAACTTTGGAAATTCCGAGGGCGAGACCGATTGAAGAGTAAGTAAAGGACATGATAGCGGCAACAATCGAAAGCCACCATATCTGATCAAAGTCTTTAATTTGAGAGAAAATGATTTCCGCAACACCAAACATGATCATATAGGGAGTGCTTGATATTTTGCAAGGATTTTTCCCTCCACTTGCATGGAAACAGTTAGACCTTTTGATTGCCCTGTTTGATCACAACCCAACAAAACCACCCATTACCACAAACATTTCCACAATCACAAAAACAAAAAATTTACAAATCTGTTTTCAAAATCAAAGTTCATACTCACATCATGCTTATGGAAGATGCAATAGTGTACCCAATGGCCACCCCAAAAAGGTTCAGGTACTGAATCAGCCCACATATCATGAACTTCACACCACCTTCAAAATTAAAAAAATATAGAACAGAGGTTAGTTCATGAGATTTTGAGAAAAACCCACTAGTCAAATTGGTGTAAAAAATTGAAATTTACCCAGATTGGAGCTAACAGCGTCCATGTAAGTATAGTTTCGCTTGCCGGTGTTAGGGTCGCCAGAGCGGTAACATGCAGCGAGGAGAGTAGAAGTGTAGTAAGTGACAAAGGAGAACAAGAACATCACAGTTGGACCAGCAATCCAACCCAGCTGAGCAGTGGCCCAAGCCAAGGACAACACTCCTGACCCAATCACTGCTGTTATTATGTGAGCACTTGCTGTCCAAACAGTCCCTATATCACCAAACCACAAGTGAAGGTGAATTACTACTATTAGTTATAAGTAACAAAAGCACAAAAGGCAGTAATTCTACGCACTCACAAAATTTAATTTAATTTTTTAAAAAAATAGAGGTTTGTTAGGGATTTTACCGGTTCGTTTGAGACGGCCATCGTCGTCGTAACATTTGGAGCTGGCCACGTCGATGGGAAGAGAGAAATGGTTGAGATGGTTGTTGTTTTTTGTGGTGGCCTAAAGAAGAAGTTTGAGATATCTCTGTGTTTTCTTGAGACAATTACACAGACAGAGGGACATCTCTCTCTCTCTCGGGTTTCTTGCTAGTTAGTTTGTTTTAATTGAGAATGGGTATTGGAACTCTCTATGTACTTGTATATGTGAAAGCCTTAAAAAGAAGAGAGAGTGTGGTGGGTGTGTGGTTCTCCAACTGTTTTTGTCAGTACTTTAACTATTGACTGAGTTATTGACACACTTATCAAGAGTTAAACAAAAACCAATTGGCTGAACAAGTTTTGGGAGTAAATGGGTATGCTTCAGTAGCACTCAAAACCAGAGCAAAGTAGAAAAACTGTGTGTTCGTGAGAGAGAGAGAGAGTTGTGTGGGATAGACAATGAGGGTGGGAGGTTCCCACAACGCATGTGACAGTTAGTAAATTTTTGGGTAAATTAGGGAGGTTCCTAGCCTTATTGAAATTATAAATATATCTATTGAGATTTATTTAAAATACGGATTGTCTTTTATAGTTTTAAAAATTATAAATACTTCTTTGTTGAAATTTTTATTAACATAATTAACTGAAAAAAATATAATTTCTAACTACTCTTTTATACAATGATAAATTACTTAAATTATTAATTGAAATAAATTTATCACACTATTAAAAACTATTAATTGACTTGATTTATTAAAAAAATGGGTTATTTGTTATGAAATTAGAAATTTCAAGAGGAAGAGATGTAATTTATAGAACCACATAAGACAAACCGTATTTTAAGCAAATCTCAAGAAGTATATTTGTATTTTGCCCTAAACTTTAAGAAAATATATTAACTTTTCTCAAGGTTTAAAAATATATAATAAATATTACAAATT